CAGTGCTGCAGGGGGGGCTGCAGGTTGGACACGCTTGCTCTGGCAGTGACCACATGACGTCAGGCTCTAGGAGGCAGGCCCGCTCTCCCAGTTGGAGTTACAGTCCCTCTCCAAGTCTGGCCTGTAGGGCCTCTTGGCTGGTGGCGTCTCCCTGCCCACAGCCTCTTTTCCCCCCTTTGCTGGTCCCAGCTGCTCACCACACCCAGCTGCAGACTATGTTGCTTTGTCAGCCTCCAGCTCCTAGCGTTGCTCCTCTGACCTCTTTGGCTCTGGTCACTGCCTCTCAGCGCAGCTTGCACTCCTTGGGTTGTGTGTGTCTGACTGTGGTCACTGCAGGTCTGCTTCTTTGCACAGGGTCTGCGTTCTGTGGGCTGAATGGGCCTCTGGCTCTGTCACTGCAGGTCTGCTCCTCAGTACAACCTGGACCCCTTGCTACTTAGCTCTTAGCTCTCTCTCCCTATGACTCAGACCTAAAAAATCCCAGCACACACAGAGGATGGGACCTGGCCTCCTAATTTCCCCATTGGCCTGTCCAACCTGTCAATCAGGCTGACCTGGAGTGTTGGCTTCTTCCCATTGTCCCTGGGGTCTGTCAGTCTCAGGGCCCTGATTTTTCATGGATCCTTCCCCTTTTGGTTCTGGGCGCTGGTCAACCAAAAACTCTCACTGAGTTTTAGTAAGGGGCTAACTGTCCCCTTACACATACTCCTTTGTTCTTTGCCAGCAACTGACCTGTCCATGGAACTAGCTTTCTTTCAGCATGCCAGGGATACAGTTCTTCCCCCTTAGACTCCCAGCAGCAACTGGCCTCTGTTCTGCCTGCAGCTCCTGTAGTAGTCAGGACATGTCGGGATCATCAATGTAGTAGCCAGGACAGCGATATGGTAAATTCAGGATTCACTGGTGTGGCGTCAGGTCTTCTGCTCCATTAGTGATGATAAACATTAGGCTGCATGTGTTTTTGTATGCTCCCTTGGTATATCGTGCCAGTTCTGCACAGGTAGCGAGCATGATAGACTTCACAGCAGCCTCCAAAGACTACAGACTCAGATAAGATACGAAGACACCCGAGTCAGGTTTATTGTCAAACAAAGTACCTTAATAGCTGTTGTAGCCAGATGGCCTCTGAGCCCCTACATATTTGTGCCTGGGACAATGGACCTGGCTCAGTCAATGTATGGATTTACTTTCACCCCCTAGGCCAAAGAGTTAACTGAGGTACCCCAACATTTATAGACAGAAATAAACAATGTATGATACACAGTGTACGTATCATCTTACGCATTAATGACACATTTGGTACCTCCCCTGTACTTTCCTCCAAAGCATTCACTACCTATTGTTATGCTTTCACTCTTGTTTCAAGCTATTTTATTATGTACTTAGCTGGATGTCCCTGTATTTACATATTCCATGTGCTTTTATCAGTGCTAGCAGTTATGGTGCCGAGACACACTAACTTTCAGGCAAACATCTGCTTTTGACATGGCCTGTCTATTACTCATAGTATAACTCTTGCTTACTTTGGTTCAAGAACCAGGACCATGTTGCAGGCTCGCTCTTTCTCCTACAGCTCCTTTTATGTCAGACTCCTGGACCCTGACTGATTGCTCTTTGCAACCTCTCTCTTATCGACTGCTTCCCACACCTTACACCTAGAGCATTGGGGTATGTCTAAACAGGAGTGTTATTTCGGAATAACGTCATTCTGACATTATTCCGAAATAATAAAGAGCACGTCTACACTACAAGCCATTATTTTGAAATAATGTCGAGCTGGAGGACTTCTTACTCCAATTCCCGCAACCCTCATTTTACAGAGAGGAAGTGACGTCAAAAGAAGTGTGTTCATACTTGGACTTCCTGCTGTGTAGACAGCACCAAAAGCCAAATTAAGCTATTTTGACTTCAGCTACACAATTGACATAGCTGAAGTTGTGTAGCTAAATTCGACTTTTGCCCTGCTGTGTAGACATACCCTTAGAGTCCCCTTGTATTCCAGTGTTGAGTAAACACCCTCTACGAGTGTCCACTTGCTCTCTCCCATTTTCCCAGGGCATACCACACTAGAAGCAGTGCTTCACTGCACCACATTTAACATCGGTGGCCTCGCCCTGCTTAGGAAAGCCAGGGGTAACTTCGGCACTGGTGTGTACCAAATGCATTCTGGTAAGGGAACAGTGTGAAATAGCTCTCAGGATGCATGGGAATTGGGCTAGAAAAAAAACCCATCATCAGCAGTGTTACAACAGAAAACCTGGAGTGGTACTAGCAACCTATTTGTACACAGTGGGAGATGAAACATAATATAACATGAGACATAACAGTGATTCAGTCCAGGTCCTCTTACCCATAATAACTATGTATTGTTTAGTCTGCACCACATAAAAAGGGGAGCTAAGTCCTGAACTGCTGTGCTACAGCGTTCTTGTCTGACCCTGGGCAAGTCACTTCATTCCTCTGTTCTCCATCTGTGAAATGTAGATAATGCTTCCTTTCTTCTCCTGGTGCTGTCTTGTCTATTCAGATTGTCAGCTTTCCAGGGCAGGGGCGGTCTTGTTTAATTTGCGTATACAGCGGCTAGAAAAATGGAGCTCTGATCTCAGTTGGGGCCTTTGCATGCTATTGTAATACAAATAATTTTAACTGGAACCAGAGGTGTGCCTGGTGCGTTACAGACAATAAATAGGGGTATACCACTGCCCCAAGGAGCTGACAATCTAAGAAAGACAAAACACAGCAAGAATCCACCCTAAAGAAAAGGTGAGGTGTAAAACAAAGAGGACACAGGGTCTGATAGTAGCAGATGCCTCTTGTTAGTTCTTCTATTTTAAAAGGCAATATATTAAAATAGGAAATCATGCTGGGATGCTAGGGGAATGAAGTCAATTTAAAGTAATTTATTTGTAATCTTTGGGAGGCAAATGTTTCAGGACGTTCTCAGCTAAGCAAATACAGTTTACACAATATACACCGGTTTCCTTTTTCAACAACAGGCTGTGTCAAACTAAGGTGACCAAAGGGACAGTTTTTAAAGGGACAGTCCCTTATTTAAGCCCTCCTACAGGTGTCCCAACGTTTTCTTTAAAAAGGCCATATTTTCTGTCTTCACCACATCCGCACTGGTGGGTCATGCTACTGACTGGATCCCTGCTCACCAGCTGCCTGCCCACCAGCATGGTGGGGGAATTCAGTGACTGAGGATGAGGGTGGGTGTGCAAAGCTGGTGGTGGTGTGAAGGTACATTTTGTGCTGTTCTCCCAGCTGCTTCTCCCAGCTGGTTCGTTGGCACAGCCCCAGCTGTGTGCTGGCTCCCGACCAGCAGGGTCTCACCTCCTGTCCCATTTCTGGCCAGCACTGGCTATGAGCTGTGGTGGCTGGTGAGCATGGACAGGCACCAGGTGTCAGCTGGTTATATGTCACCACTGCTGCCCACTCATTGGCCCTTTACTTGCTCCTCCTCTCGCTGTCCTCTCCCTGCTTTGCCCCTTTGCTTCTCACAGACCTGCTGCTACTTCATATCCCCACCACTGAGATGTCCCACTCCCAGTGCTGTGCAGAGAACTCTGATCAGAGTGCTCAGCTCACCAACAACCTGGCAGCAGGTTCCTTCCTTCCCACACTGCCTCTAGCAGGGCTGGTTCCCTGGGAAGGCCCAAACCTTGTGGCCCAGGCTACTGGCCAGAAGGAGCCATGCCTGCATGTACCAAAGCCTTGCACAGCACCGACACAGGTAAACCTCTCTCTGCCTGGCAGCTAAGCTCTGGAGTAGTGGGGAAAGAGAGGGAAGTTATTTCCAGCCTAGTGATGCCCCAAACCTGCAGGGCTGGCTGCACAGCAGCCCCCCAGGCAGTGGTTTAGCATCCTCTTCACTTTTTCCCCTCTCCCCCATCTGGATCCTGCCCCCAGGGAGCTCAGGACTGCTCCAATGCCTAGGCATTCTCCTTTGCTGATGTAAGCAGGGTCTGAATCAATGCTTCCATTACAGCCAGCTGCACCTTTTGACACTGTGCAGGCAGGAAGGAACCAGCTGTTTTCACCCACATGGGAGACATCTCTTCCCTCCTCCCCCTCTCCTGCAGCCAGAAGCAGCTACTGTCCCTTCCCTGCCACAGTGCCAAAAGGCTGCTGCTGGCCATGTTTTGGTGTGAACCCTGGCAGGAATCTGGTATCATGTGACTCTGTGTGCTCCCTGCAAATGTTGCCTGGGGAAGATGTGGTACCAGGAGAGGCAAATACACCCTGGGGCATCCTGAGGGCCCAGCCAGCCATGGAGGGTGGAGAGTGCTAGGTAGGGAGAGTCAGTCAGTCAGTCAGTCACATACGCACTCACCATGTGATAGACATGTATAGAGGTGTGTGTATGATCTCTCCCCATGTGTGTGGGTGTATTGTCACCCCTCTCTGTGTGAACCCAACAGCCTTAAAGATAAGAAGGAAAGGGAAAAGAATCCAGCTGCACAGTATTTCTTTTTAACGGGCTCAGACAACTTGATGTTAATGTGAATGTTTGTACAACTGACTGCCATTGAACTTGCTTGAATACAAGCAATTTACCAGGTATCCAGTATTCAGCATAGGGGAAAGATGGTCACCCTATGTCAACCCATAGTCACAGCTAGTAGCAAACCCTCCGTCTAAGCCAGAGTCCTGTCAAGTTTTCAGATTGCTGCTTTTTGCCCCTCAAGCCAGGACACAAGACATAGCCAAGCAAACGGGCAGCCCTTCCTCATCCACGCTTCACCGTAGCCTCCCCCTTCTAGCCCTGCTGTGCAGCACAAAATCCTTCATTTCACTGGGAGTTGTGAACTGCAGTCACTATGAACTAACCAGCCCAACTCGTTGGGCAGAGACATCAGCAAGCACCTTTGCCTTTGAAGACCGCTGGGTCTTTGATAAGCGCATCACATGCCGTCTCTGGTGAACAGCAGTGAAATGTGGGTTTTGTTTCAAAATATGGACTAAAATATGTTTTCTGTTTCTCTTGCTTTTACCAACAGTTGGCTTTGTGCAGTGAGTACCTGTGCCGCAGTATAAATCAAGTTAATTCCTCAGGTACTTTTCTGTGGTAAGGCAGAAATTCCCATTTTGGTTCACTGTCTTGCATTGTGAACTAAATTATTTTCATAGCCCCAGAAGGGCATATTGTCAGCACAGACTTACTGCAGTTATATACCATAGCCGAAACATTAATGTCTCTTCTAAATATAGCATATTGACAAGGTATCTGGTCTAGTGTAAATCCTAGGGACATTTGATCCAGATCATTAAAACCAAGTGAAGGGAGCAAGGAATAGATCAGGTTCCTAATTCAAACAACGCAATGAATTATTCATTCCACTATTAATCCTACCAGCCTCCTACTTTTTATTGTTTATTTTTTTTTTCAGCAAGGCAGCTTTGAGCATATCCCTTGCTGTTTTGTGACTGCAGATGTGTTGGCTTCGCATCACAGCTGTGTCTGAGGATGCCGCTTATTCACTTCAGGTGTCTCGTGGCAATGACTTTCTTGTGGGTGGCAAACAGGATGCACGCGAAGAAAGGTAAGCCACTGTTCAGCTGTGCTCTGCACCACGCCACAGGGTGTTAACTTCCAGGGGCTCTTTCCGTTGGCCTTTGAGGTCCCGCTGGGGTAGCTCTCCTGGACTCTGGCAGCAGACGTGTTGCTAGCTCACCTGCAGGGTGTATGCATGAAGGAATTATGCCCGTTTCATGGGCTTTTTGATAGTCTGTCTGGTTTATCTATATTTGATGTTGTTTTAGGGCCTGATCCTGCCAGTCCTGATGCACATGAGCCATCCTTATACAGGCACTGTTTCACAGGCTGCAGTGGAACTAGATGTGTGAGGAAGCAATGATGGATTATTACTATTACCTCAGTTACTCATTGGTGTGTCTCCTTTTTATTTAGATGTTGAATGTGTAGATGGTATATGGCTTGGGTCAGGGCTGCTCCCAGTTCCTCAATGAGCATGGGTTCAACCTCCTCCCAGCTTCTTCCTCCTCTTGCTCAAGGGCCAGGCTATCAAACGACTGTGTGGGAGACAGGAGGTGAATGGAAGGGTTCCCCCTATCCTCAGGATCATAGGACTGGCTTGAGTCCCAGGCTGGGGAGCATTTCCAGTTGATGTGAGGTTGTGTTTGTTTGTTGGCTTATGTTAACCTGATTAACACTTGTCCCTGGCTAGCAACACTCTTGCTCTGTTTCTGCTGACATCCCAACTGTTTACAAAATAAATTACAGGCCAGTTCCTCAACCAGTGTCTCTATTGAAATCAATGGACCATGTACACCATCCAAAGGCCTGGCTCTAAAGCAGTGTGGTAGTTTTGGATTTACCTGTTAACTATAGAAATGAGATATTTCAACCACATCATTGAAATCCTGTGCCATTAACTTACCCATGAGCACTTAGGCCTTCTTGGAGCAAGGTGTCTGGCCTGGAAGAGTCACTGGACAAAGATCAAATGCTTTAGAACAGCTGTGGCCAACCCACCTAGCCCCTAGAGCAGCCATGGCCAACCCACGGCTTGTGAGCCGTATGCAGCTCTTGCCCCCCAAAAGTGCTGCTCGCGAAACTGCTCCTGGTGTCCCTGTGATTACTGGGTCAGAGCTGCAGGGATTTAAAAATGGCACCTATGATGGCGGCCATCTTTTTTTGTTTTTTTCCTCGACAATTCTGTTCTGGAGGACTTTTTTTGTTGTTGTTGGTTTTGGGGGTTTTTTTTGTTGTTGTGTTTGCTGCTTGATAATTCTGGTGCAGTCTTCACATTTTTTCCACTGCTATTTTGGCTCTCTTTATTAAACGAGTTGGTCACCCCTGCTTTAAAAAGCTGCTTGGTTGATTTTGTGTTTCAAATTTATAGTTTGCTGAAAATTGAAGGGTGGTAACGTGAAAGTCTCTACCTAAGTCTCCAGTTGCTCTTCTGAAACACTTGTTTGCTTTTCTAAGTATTCATTTTTTAAAAGAGCCAGCAAGAAACTACTCTTCTTCTAAATGGGTTCAGAGCACCTGGCAAGTAGAGAAAGACTAGCAAAGGAAATTCTGGCTAAAAAGCATTGCTGCATTCAGAATTTATAAGATTATAAGAGCTTGGAGTTGTCACTAAATTAACTATAGAGACCCACACACTTTCCCTTGGAGGAGTTGATATGCTCCTGATATCTGAGAGCTTTCTTTGGTAGGATAATGAGTCTTGTGGATAAGGGAGAAGTGGTGGATGTGGTATACCTAGACTTTAGTAAGGCATTTGATATGGTCTAGCATGATCTTCTTATCAATAAACTAGGCAAATACAACTTAGATGGGCCTATCATAAGGTGGGTGCATAACTGGCTGGATAACCATTCTCAGAAAGTAGTTATTAACTGTTCACAATCCTGCTGGAAGGGTATAACAAGTGGGGTTCCACCAGGGTCTGTTTTGGGACTGCTTCTGTTCAATATCTTCATCAACAATTTAGATGATGGCATAGAAAGTACGCTTATTAAGTTTGCAGATGATACAAAGCTGGGAAGGGTTGCAAATGCTTTCAAGGATAGGGTCATAATTCAGAATGATCTGGACAAACTGGAGAAATGGTCTGAGGTAAACAGGATAAAGATTAATAAGGACAAATGCTAAGTACTCCACTTAGGAAGGAACAATTCATTTCACACATACAGAATGGGAAGCGACTGAGCAGGAGTACTGCAGAAAGGAATCTAGGGGTCATAGTGGACCACAAGCTAAATATGAGTCAACAGTGTAATGCCATTGCAGGGCCGGGGCTAAAGCTCAGATCTCCTGGCTCCCAGTCCACTAGTCCACATTGTCACCTGTTCTGCACCATGAAATAAGGCCACTATAATTCAGTGAATCTCCCTCTTAATCCAAAGGGGTCACACGGTGCTGACTGGCCATGAGCCGTTCTCACTTGCTATGCTCACTTAAGTACCTTGAAACACTGAGCTATTAATTTATCAGTAATTGTCTCTATAGTGACCTTTACCTCTCCTGCTGGCGCCCCGCTTAGCTATTTATTTTAATAATATTAATATTATTATTGTAATACCTTCCACGCGTTACTTCATCACCTATCCCTGGTAATTATCATGCCAATTTTTTATCTGACCATTCTTCCCAGGCCCAGGTACCCACATGGAAATGCCCATTAACCATTTGTTTTACACTGCTCATTGCAATGTACATTTATGCAGAGACGCTCCAGCTTCAGCAGGTCACAGCACTATTAAGCATAATGAAAAGCAACATGCAATGGCCAGTTATTGATTTGCAATAGACTTTGTGCAGACTGAGAGCATATAGACTTGTTTGAGAATCTATGGTTGTCCCTCAGAAGGGGCAATGGGTCTTTCATTGCTCTGCAGTGTGTAAGCAAAGCCATATTTAGGGGTATGTGGTCCAGGCGGCTGCCTGGCCTTAGTTAGTTAGTTATCTAAGATAACTTTTAACATAACTAAGATATCTAAGATAATTTTTATCCCATACCTTCTTTCCTGCCAAAGAAAGGCCATTTATCAGGTACTGGCCTTGTTTATGTCTGCTGAGGCATCAGCTTGCCCTTTGTCTCTGAGGGTATGTCTACACTACCCCGCTAGTTCGAACTAGCGGGGTAATGTAGGCATACCGCACTTGCAAATGAAGCCCGGGAAATTCAAATCCCGGGCTTCATTTGCAAGTGCGGTATGCCTACATTACCCTCCTAGTTCGAACTAGGAGGGTAATGTAGGCATACCGCACTTGCAAATGAAGCCCGGGATTTGAATTTCCCGGGCTTCATTTGCATAAACTGGGCACCGCCATTTTTAAATCCCTGCTCGTTTGAACCCCGTGCCGCGTGTAGCCGCGCGGCACGGGGTTCGAACGAGCAGGGATTTAAAAATGGCGGCGCCCAGTTTATGCAAATGAAGCCCGGGAAATTCAAATCCCGGGCTTCATTTGCAAGTGCGGTATGCCTACATTACCCTCCTCGTTCGAACTAGGAGGGTAGTGTAGACATACCCTGAGGGACTGAGTTGGCCACATCCAGGTTTGGAACATGTTTTAGTTATACCATACAGTATAATCTTATAGCTTTCCACACAATGTTTCTACACATGTTTTACCAGGACAATAATGCCCAGCAAATTATGAATTTTCAAGTGATACTCCATGAGGCAAAATTTGTATAAAGATTGTTCCAATAGTGTGCAAGAGAGTACATTGTGATGGCACGTTGGGGTCCCCCACCTCCTGCACCCCCGAAAGAGCACGAACAGCCTCCACCAGCTGGTAGAACAGAGGGAGTTTATTGCCTCTCCAAAATACAGCACAGCACAGATGTCACCAGGTTACAGGACAGGCCTAGGATGCCTCAGCCCCCCTTGATATGGGGTGGGGGGTCCGGCTTCTAAACCCCCCAGCCTGTTGCTGAGGCTGCTTCCTCCATGCTCCCAGACAGAAAACTAACTAACTCTCCTCCAGCCCTGCCCCCCAGCCAGGGGCGGCATTCCACCTTCCTTTGTTTCTCCCCATGGGGGGTAGCTGGTCAGACAGGTTTGGAGCCCCCTTTGCATAATGACTCCTGTCACAGACAGCAGAGGTCACCACAGCCCTAGCAAGGTACCCCCACTACGTCACATACATTCATGGGTATATTCTCTCACACATGCCTTTTCCAAACAAGCTCCTTCTGTGGTCTTTTCCTCAATGCAACGTTCTTCCACTGATTTAAAGACAAAGTTTGGATGTAAATGAATGGTCCAGTCCTCTTCTGGGGAAAATACAAGCCCCAGCTAGCTCTCCATATGCTCAATGGTAGCCAGAAACATTGTGTTGCTACTTCTGTGTAATGGGAGTGGGCAGGATACTCCACTGTAGTTCTTGATATTTCATGACTTCTGATGTTCCAAGAAGATACTTTGCCTCCTGTCCAGCACCATCTCATGTCCGCCTGAGATGTCTGCATAGAGGAGAAGAAGGAATGGCCACTTTGGACAGCAACTTTGTGAATGGGGTGGTGGCGCTGTCAGAGCTGCCCTCAAAATTCAGGTCTTATTGTTGCTGCCATCTCACAGTCAGTGGGTTCTGAAATGCAGAGGCAGCGTTCCAGGCAGGGTACAACTGAGGCCAGTGTCTCCACTAGTTTCAGATTCACGCTGTGTTTTTTTCCAAGCAAGAGAAAGGACAGTAAGGGCCACCCGGAATTCGTTTCCTGGAGGAAGAGCTCCAAACAGGCAGCATGAGCTAGCTGGAGTGGGGAAGCTCTTGCCAATATTCTAATGGCACAAGACTGAAGACCCTTGCCCAGCCCCTACCCTTGCTCCTTCCTTGAGACCCCATTCCTTCTCCAAGGCCCTGCCTCCTCTCGCTCCATCCCCCCTCTCTCCGTTACTCACTTACCCCGTCCTCACCGGGCTGGGGCAGGGGGTTAGAGGCAAGAGGGGGTGAGGGTTCTGGCTGGGGGTGTGGGCTCTACGGAGGAGCTGGGAAAGAAGGGTTTGAGATACATGAGGGGGCTCCAGGCTGGGGCAGAGATTGGGGCAAGGGAAGAGGAGGGCTCCAGCTGTGGGTGTGGGCTCCATGTGGGGTCAGAAACGAGGGGCTCAAAGTGTGGGAGAGAGCCCTGGGCTGGAGCAGGGGATGGGAGTCCAGGGGGTCCTGGACTGAGGGTGAGGACTCTGGAGTAGGGCTGTGGAGGAGGAGTTTGGGGTGTGAGGCGGGGGCTCAGGGATGGGGATGGGGGAATGAGGGTTGTGGGCTCTGGGTGGGAGTTTGAGTGTGGAAAGAGACTCTGGACTAGGGGTGTGTGAGGGGGTTGTCGATGTGGGGTCCAGGTGGCTCTTTCTGCAGCTCCCAAGGTGCAGGAAGGCTCTGTCCACACATTCCGCTGCCCTCACGCCCACAGGCACCACCTCCACCGTCCCCTAGTGATGTCTCCGCAGCTCCTGTTGGCTGGGAACTGTAACCAATGGCAGGCAGGTAGGAACTGCTGAGCTGCAAAACTGGATTTTTGACAGCAGTGCCGACCGGAGCTGCCCTGGTCCCTTTTCAATGAACATTCTGGTCAAAAGCCAGACACCTGGCAGCGATATCTAATGCACAGCTGCACGCACTCATCTGTAGTTATAAGTTATAAGTAACGGTAGTTCGGAATAGGAAGCCTAATCCGAACTACCTAGTTCGTGCCGTGTGTAGCCGCGGGCACGGAGTCCGAACTAGCGGACATTTAAAAATGGCGGCGCCCAGCAATATGCAAATGAAGCCCAGGAAATTCAAATCCCGGGCTTCATTTGCAACTCTGGTTGCCTACATTAACCACCCTAGTTCGAACTAGGGTGGTAATGTAGACATACCCCTACACACAACAGCATCACCACCAGGTTGAGGTCCATCTTAAGACTCCACTTAAAACCTGGGCTCCTGTGCTCTTTAGCCTAAAGTACTTTGCAAATGTACAGAAAGTCACTTTGCGCTCCACTAAATGCAGACGCTTCTGGGCTGGACCGTACATGCTGTGTAAGAGCAAGCAGCTGCCAAGAGCAGTTATTGTCACTGCTTTGCAAGCCACAGGCTTCGGAGAGTTACTGAGCAGACCAGCATTCTGTGGTTGGTTTGTTTTTTAAAGTCATGTTTTTGTTTTCTGTAGGTGTTAAATGTGGTGGAGTCCTCTCCGCACCCTATGGCAACTTCTCCAGCCCTAATTTCCCTGGACTCTACCCCTATGACACTGAGTGCATTTGGCTCATAGTGGTTACAGAAGGATCCTCGGCCCTGCTGACCTTCGACCATTTTGACCTGGAATATCACGACAGCTGTGACTACGACTACCTCAAAATCTACAATGGCTTCTCCGGGGAGGAGGGGAATCTCCTAGGAAAGTTCTGTGGCAAGAGCTCCCCTCCACAGTTCACTTCTTCCTGGCATGTCATGTCCATCATCTTCCACTCCGATAAGCATGTGGCCAGTCAAGGCTTTTCTGCAGTTTACCGGAAAGGTTGGAATAGGTTTTATGTGGAGTTTTCCAGGTGTGCTTGAACAATTTGTATAATGGGGATGCTGAGAGCCATCAAACCAAACTCGGTATATGATGGAAATCACATCAAATCAGGGCACATGGGGGCGCCATTTCAGATTTTCGAGCGGGAGGGCATCTTAACCTATGATTCCATTCCAGAGGCTACTTAGGCACCTGAAAACTCCTGATTTTTTTTGGAGGTAACGACTTAGAAATTAACTGACAGGAACAGTGTTACTAATCTCTCTCGCTATATACAAACATTTTCCTACCAGTTAACATCCCTAGTTCTGGGGGTTGAACCTTGTGTTGTTAGGCCTGGGAAACTGTGTTAAGAGCAGCAGGAAAGCACAGGTAGAATAGAAAGAAGAATTTAGCCCTGCCATGGGATCTTGC